TCATTATCATATGTACGACCTCAATTTTTAATTCTTTTCTTCCGTTTCATGTGCCAAACTCAAACGCTCACAATTGAAGAGCAATATGATTGGGGAGCAAGAATATTTGATTTTAGATTAAAGTTTAAAGAAGGAAGGATGATTTCAGGACATGGCCCATGTACATTTGATGTAAACGTCACATCAAAAGTTGAATATTTATCAAATAAAGAAAATATATCAATTCGTTTCATGATTGAGAATGAAGAAGATGATACTGTATATATTGACTACTATAAAAAATTGGTGGAACAATTTTCACCGAAAATCCAATTTATTGGACTTTGGCGAAAATACGATTCTAAATTGCTTATACCTGGAAACGGAACTGTTGGAACTGAATATAATGCTGAACCAGGCATGGAAAACAATAAATTCCCATTTCCAAGATTATATGCTGAACAGTTTAATTACAAGTTTTGGCCAAGAATTGAAGCCGGCGAATTTGGGATCATGGACTTTCCAGAAATTACGCGGAAACTGCGCGATCCATAAATTTCTTTTGAGTGGTAAAAGTTTGCCTTTAATTCTTCCAATTTTTTTCATCGAATTTATCATGAATACGCCTAATTTTACATTCAATAAGGAATGCTAACATGCTTATAAACATCGAGTTTTGAAATCAAAAAGTTAAACATAAATGAATTGGTAATATGTATTTAATGTCTACATTCATTCATATGTACTTTTACTTTAATATTCAGATGATATCTATGATAATCTAGAACATTTCCAAAATCGATGTCAATGAGAGAAAAGTGAATATCTCTGGTTATCAAATTATCTAATCTCTTCATGTATAATATTAGATTTAATGCACTATCATTATTATTCATTTTTTCCATATGAGAGTGGCAGAAGTTTTTTGAAAACTGCTGTTTTTTGAAAGGAGATCAATTGTTGAATAAAATTCAGCTTTCTGTCTCTCCAATCATATGCTTAGCATTCTTCACTCTAAATTATAAATTCGGTGAAAGAGGGTGATATTCGTGATATTTCAATCAGTGGGTAGATTAAGGAAATTGTATTGATGGAGATCCATCACTTAAACGAATGGTTGGATGGGATCGACGAACATTTCTGGTTTTTAAATGAAAGTAAGCTCGTATTGTTGTCTCCTACTTTTATTACCTATTTGTCATCAGACAATTTTTGTGATGTAAATGATTGATATTATTTCCATAACAAACTTATATATGACACAATTCTAATAATTTTTCAAAAGGTTCTCCCTTTGTGACAATAATTTTTGGATGTATTCAAAAGAGCGATATAATTGACAAAGAATTGAGTTTTGATCATTTCTTGAATATTATTGATTCTAAAAAATGTTTGAGTGTTGAACATCATCATAGACTATATCCAATAGTTTACATCAAACAAAGTTTTGAATGGTAACTTTTGAGTTCCTAAATGGTTACATTTGATGAGCTGTAACGATGTTTTATTCGGCCAAATAATATTACAATATATCTATCGTGAAAATAATTGGTCGATGAAAACTTTAGGAGAACGTTAATATAGTAGCGCCGGATTTGAGTGAAAACGTCGGTTTCGAAGTGAAAACATTCAGCTTTTTGATAATATATCTGGTTTGTAATTGAAAGAATTATGATCGTTGTAATAAATAAAACATGAATATCTAAAGATCAATTTAAATTTATTGTTTAATATTTATATAAATAATTTAGTTTATTGTGAAGATTAAATTAACACAGTCTCGTAAATTTTTTTTTCTGGAATCGTAAATTAAATTCGCAATTTCGACTTTTTCAAAATTAAACGAAAATGACTTAATGCATCTATTAACATCATATATGCATATATTTATTGAAAATTTGGATAAAAAANTTTTTTATCCAAATTTTCAATAAATATATGCATATATGATGTTAATAGATGCATTAAGTCATTTTCGTTTAATTTTGAAAAAGTCGAAATTGCGAATTTAATTTACGATTCCAGAAAAAAAAATTTACGAGACTGTGTTAATTTAATCTTCACAATAAACTAAATTATTTATATAAATATTAAACAATAAATTTAAATTGATCTTTAGATATTCATGTTTTATTTATTACAACGATCATAATTCTTTCAATTACAAACCAGATATATTATCAAAAAGCTGAATGTTTTCACTTCGAAACCGACGTTTTCACTCAAATCCGGCGCTACTATAAAATCCTTAACTATCAATTTTTTGTTTTCGAAGAAAGAAACCAATGGCTACGTCAGAACCACAAGCAATTATTATTTTAATCGACAATTCCGAAACTTCAATTAATGGTGATTTTTATCCCAACAGACTTGATGCTCAAAAAATTGCAGCTGAGAGATTAATTCAATACTTCTTCCGAAAATCGCCCAAATCGCAGATTGGTGTTGGAACTCTTGCTGATGGTGCATTTGGAATCGTTGCTTCTTTGACGACATGCAATAATAAACTCGATAGATCAATTACGACAATTAAAAGCGGAGGAACCGTCCAGTTGGTTCATGGAATTCGATGTGGATTTCTTGCCCTTCATCACCGCGATCCAGAATTAGTCACAAAGCGCGTAATTGCTTTTATCGGATCCCAGCATGATATGATCGACGAAGAGACCTCATCGCAGCTCGCAACATATGCTAACAAGGAAGGAGTATCTGTTGACATTATTGCTTTTGGCGACGATGTCAATAATTTGGAGACTTTAGAAAAATTCACAGGAAAGCTTGGAATTAAGTCACACTATGTTCGGGCTGAATCCAACTCTTTGATACTGTCAGATCTTGTCCTATCGTCGCCAATCGGCCCAGGTGAAATGAATCGCCAATTGAGCGTGAACATCGAAGATGACCCAGATCTCGAATTAACGCTTAGATTGTCGCTAGAAGAAAACCAGAATGAAGAGGATGAGGAACTTCAGAGAGTAATTTTAGAATCGATGAAAGACAATGAAGAAATAGATATTGATGACATTGATGACCCAGAAATGAAGGCTGCGATTCAGGAGTCTTTGAGGGATAGTCAAGAACCCGAACAAGAAGATCAAAAGGGCAGTAACACTGACGAGAAGAAAGATGATAAAAAGTGATGAAGGCTTTTTTTCAAAAATCGAAATTGTAAAAAATTTTTAATGAATTCCAAGTAATTATTTTATTCTTATGATCATTGCTCTATCATTGCATATTATAGAGCATAAAATACTATTTGCCATTAATTAATTTAAGTGTTTTAATTATTTCCCGATGTTTTATTCTTTTTTTCATGGAAATATTTAAGTCAGAATTGCATGCTAAATGTGACTCCAATAGTTTATTCAATGAAAAGCATAATGACTGAGAAGGTATTATATGTATAAAGATTATTTTCCAAAAAGATTAAAGATTCTTGAAATGAGATTTATAGTCAGCTATCTAGCCAATAGATGTATGTAATGAGAATATAGCAAGTTGGCCAACTACTTAGTGGAAAAAGAATGTCCGCCAAATTGCTATCTGGCTAAATAAATATTCAAACCCGATATAAATGATGTGATTCTCTGCCATTTCATTTAATGACTTACTCATATCATTTTTTATTGATACACTCTAAATAATGTTTCGAGGCTTCAGAGGATTCCCACAACATCATGTTCGTGTTATGAATCAAGTTGCTAATGAGTTCAAGCAAATCCCAGTTCAGCAAATCTTTGAAGGAATTTTAGCAGAAACCATAATGGGACTTCATCAGCAAACACAAGACTTTCACCGATTCCATCAGTTTCCTAGAATATACATGCATCACCACCATCACCATTGCCATCATCAGCAAAGAAACCAACAGCAAGTACCTGAAAATGAGAATATACACCAAAATGAACAGGAAAATCGGCAAGAGAATCCAAATCACGAAAATGTGAATTTATATGAACAGCAAGCACAAACAGAACCACATGAATTTCAAGAATCAAATGAACAACAACAAGAACAAATACCAGAACACGAATCACATTATTTGTATGAATCAGATGATCCAGATTATCATAAAGAAGGACAAAAGCTTTTTCATGAAGAAGTTGGGCTTGTTAGAAATGAAAACCAAGAATTTGTGAACCAGCTCTCAAATAATAATGAAATTGTCATAATTTCTGAACGACAAGATGAAAATCAGAAAGGTGAAGATAGTATCATCAGCAATGATAGTCACTTCTTTGAAGAAAAAGTCTTGAAAGAGGAATATCAGAAGGAAGAAAGACTAATTGAATCAGATAAATTAAATGAACAACAACAGGAAGTTAAAGCTCATGAAAATAACAATGAAGAAGAAAGCATTCATGAACAAGAAAGCGATGATGAAGAAATAAAGAATCATGTTGAAAATGATAATGTGAAAGACGAAAATAATCAAGACAATTTTGAAGAGGAAAATGTGCATCTTAGTGAGAATCCAAAACAACATCATTGTGTCACTGTTAATGAAGCCAACAATAAGACATTCGGAAAATTTTTTGATGCAGAAGAGCACAGGGAACATTTTGAAGATGATGAAGAAAACCATCATTATATCACAAGGGGGAGTTTAGGAAATGCATGGTATGAAATTGAAAGGATTGAGGGAAAAGATGGGAAAATGAAATCGAAAGAGATTTTCCACAATATTCCAGAAGAGAAATTCCAAGAGTTTATTAAAATATGGAATGAGTCCTTCAATAGTTCTAAGTTATTTAATTATTAAAAAAATAAAAATTAATGTTTTTTAATGAAAAAAAAATTAAGATATTAGTAAAATAAACTGAATTCTTAAATGATGAACATATAAAAAGTGATAATTTCATTTTGATAAAGAGACTCTTTCCACGTCATAAGAATATTGGAAAATTCTGCTATCAAATTTTCTTTTCAATGAATAACAAATCTTAGTTTCAAATCTTAATTTCAATGTGATATGTCAAATACTTATATATAAGAAATAGAATATTCTTTCCTTTACAGTTGTCTCGATGTTCTAATGGTTAGGATATGACTTTCACACGGTCGTGGTGGGGGTTCGATTCCCCCTCGGGACACTTTTTATTTTTTTTTTTTTTTACTTCGTTTAAATTTTTATCCTTTTCATAATGATGAATGAGTAATAAATTTATGTCTAGCTCTAAAAAATAAAAGCAATTCAATCAATACAATATTTTAGATATAAAAATAATAGTATAAGCTCAAGTAGCCGCAATTCGATCAAATCTTATATATTCATTCACCAGATTTGGGTGTCTTCGGAGATTCTGGTTTATCCCCTTTTTCTTCCTCTTCACCTTTCGCTGATTTTGGAGACTTCGGTGATTTCGGAGATTTAGGTGAATCTGGTGCACTTTCTTGTTTGTACTCTGCTGGTTTTTCATCCTTATTATCTTCTTCTTCATTTTTATTACTATCACTTTCGTTCTCGCTGCTCTTTCCACTTTTTTCTTTATTTTCACCATCACTTTTTTCTTTTTCACCTTCTCCTTGGTCATTTTCTTGATTTTCGTTGTTGTTACTTTCGTTTTCGTTTTCCTTTTCATTATTTTCATTATCGTTTATTGACATTCCATCAATATTCGCACCATCATTATAATCATTTCCATTATTATTATCATCATCGTCATCATTTCCGCTTCCACCTGTCAGATTTCTAACTGGTGCAGAATTGCTTTTCAGAGTTGCTCCTGAGTCGACTCTTTTTCCTGGTCTTGAAGCTGCCACTTTTTCACGAAGAACTTCCACATCAATTCCGAACTTTACCGCGAGATGGTTAAGATCAAGTTGACCTTGTCTTTTAATCATTTCTCTGAATTCCCAAATTGCTTGTTCTTTCTTGAAAGAAAGTTGAGCAGAAGCTTCTCTATTCTTTTCAGCGATTTGATGTTTAGTATAAACGTACTCCAACGCATTCTTTTCTCTTTCCTGATTAATTTCTCCTCTTTTTTGGATTTTATATGACTGTTGTTTCGCTTTTCTTTCAGCAGCTTCATCTCTCATTCGATCATGAAGTTTTTGAAGAGCAACTTTCTTAATTAATTCATCATCTTTCATCTTTCTAACTTCTTCTAATCTCTTTTCATCTTCTTCAGTCTTCTTCATATACTTATCAGCTGCTTCTTTCGCCTTTTGAGCGCGTTCTTGATTTTGTTGTTGAATATGAAGTTGCTTCTCCGCTTCCAATTGTCTTTCTTTCTTATATCGTTCAAGTTTACTTTGCATAATAGCATCTCTTCTTTCTTGGTCATGAGTTTCTTTACAAACCATCTTTCTAATTCTTTCTTCTTTTGCTTTTTCAAGTGCAATTTTCGCATTTTGATTTCTTTGGACTTGCATTTCACTTCTTGCTCGAGTTTTCTGTTGTAAAATATCTCTTTGTTTAATCAATTTGTCATAGCGACCTTTTGCTGCGAGGTCTTTTAATTCCATTGAACGCCTTTTTTCTTCAATTAATTGTGCGCTACGTTGTTGAGAAGCTTCGTATCTTTGTTTTTGTTCAATCATAATTTTTTGGTTTCGTTCTTTAATTCTGTTTAATTGTTCAATTCTTCGTAACTCCATCTGTCTTTCACGAATAACTTGTTCTTTTTGTCTTTCAATAATTTTCTTTTTATCTTCTTCTAATTGTCTTTCAAGTGCTTCTCTTTGAGCGATAGCTTTTCTTTGGCGGGCTAGATCGGCTTCTGCCATTTCTTTCATTCTTCTTGCTTTCATTTCAGCAATCATTCTTTGGTTCCTTTCAACTTCTTCTTCTTGCTTTTTTTTCATTTCAAGCAGCTGTGCCTCTTTCTCTTGAATTCTTAAAACTAAAACTTCTTCTTTTTGTCGCCTTTTTTCAGCATCTGCTATTTGCCGTTGTCTGACTTCTTGAGCAAGCTGCCTCTGTCGTTCTTCTCTCTTAACTCTGAGTGCTTCTTCATCACGAATCGTTTGCTCACGGATTAATTCTGCGACAATTAATTGTTCGATTTCTCTTCGTTGCATCTTTTCAATTCGCTCAATAGCTTCATTTCTGGCAGTTTTATTCTCTTCTTCGCTGTGAGTAGCAAGAGTTCTTGCTGATGGACCAATTGTTCTTTTATGCTCATGAAGAACATTTTCACGTTCTTCTTTGACTTGTTGGATTAAACTTGTTCTTCTTGCCATCAAAGTGGATTCAACTTTGGCACGAACGTCTGGAAAGTCTGGATATTCAGCAAAATCAGCTGGTTGTGGCTTCATTAAATTCTTTGGCTCAATTGCAAGTCTTTCCATTGCAATTAAAGTTGCTTTTTCTGTGAAAACTGGAACTTGGTCATCACTAAAATGATCTTCGAAATTTAAAATTCCAACACCATCAGTTGCAGTTGTTGTCTTGGCTCTCAAACGTGGAAGCTTTGTCACCATTATTTCATTTTCATCATCATCAGCATCATCATTTTCATTTTCGTTTTGATTTTCTGTGGAAGTCTCAGCATCAACTTTCGGGGAGCCCACCAAAGCATCAGCCATATCGTTTGCAGCAGTTTCTAATGTTCCCAATTTCTCTTCTTCTTCTTCTTTATTTTCTTCTCCTTCTTTATTTTCTTTATTTTCATCTTTTTTCTCTTCTTCTTCTTTATTTTCTTCTCCTTCTTTATTTTCTTTATTTTCATCTTTTTTCTCTTCTTCTTCTTTATTTTCTTCGTTTTCTGTTTCTTTTTCATTTTCTGTTTGTGTTTCATTTTCTATGTTATTTTGTTCACTTTTTGTGTCATTTGAATTTTCGTCTGTTGAATTTGGATTATTATCAATATTTGAATTTTCATTTTTTTCATTTTCGGTATTTTGGAGAGCACCGGCAATTTCTTTTACTTGATTATTCAAATCTGAATCAAGTTGAGGAGAATTTTCGGCTTCATTTGAATTCTCATTTTCTGATTTTGAATTCTCATTTTCTGGTTTTTCTTCTTCCTTTTTATCGTCTGGAGGTGGGGCTGGTCCACCAAGAAGGCCTTCAGCCGCATTCGATACGGAATCTGCCAAATCGGCGGGTTTTTTATTCGAATTTTCTGAAACTTCGTTTTCATTTTTGGCGCCTTCTTCTGGATTGGGTTCATCTTGCTCGTTTGAACGTTTTGTTGGATCTGTTAAAAAGAGTCCACCTGACGGGTTCTCCGCGTCTTGGGACATTTTCAAATAAGTTAACGAGTTTTACATAATTCAATACCGGTATATAAATAATTCAAAGGAAAGGAATTGGAATTTGAACTTTTTATATATTAATAAATAACGTTTTATGTTATGGTTGAAGTGAACTCCAAAAATGAGGAAATTTCGATAAAATTATCTTTTTATAATAATTTTTAGGATAAAATTTGTATTATTGATTCGTCTATATCTATACAAAATGATGCGTTGATTATGATTTAAAATCTTGAAAATAAGATCAATTGAAGAAATTGTTTCGATGTTCCGATTTTATCTTTCATTGTGAATTAAAAAATACATGAAAGAAGTATATAGAACAGTAGAAGGTAAATTTGATGTTTTATGGATTTCGACAATAATACACGAACCATTTCATCTGATATACTTCTTTCATGACCTTATCTGACTAGGTATATCTTCAACAATTTGCTAAAATAGTCTATCTTCTGTTTTCCTGTCGATCAACAAACCTCACTCTTCATTAATTAAAATCGTGACGTGTTTCTCCTAGGAGAACAATTAAAATTTCTCAAAATGATCAATTTCTATGATAATCTCAGTTATATTTATCTATTCGAATTTCAAAATGTTCATCAATAGATGACAACAATCAGAATGATGAAAACGAGAGTTTCCATTTGTTAGTCTGAATTAATTTACAACATCTCTTTGGTTGATCAAACATGTTGGAATTTTCCAATGAAGTCCAAAGGTAATCCTACACTCAAATTATAAATTAAGAAAGTGTGGATGCTTCATTAGGGGAAAATAGACAAATTATGTTGAAAGAACAAAGTAAATTTTTGTTTTTATACACTTTATTAAATAAATTGTGTAATACCACTTATGATTTAAGAGATAAATGTAGAAAATATCAATATCGCCATGTTCTTCAAAAAAACTATATCGTTTTATTAATAATATTATCATTACAAAAATATGGCTGTTTGTGCTATGAAATAAATAAACGAATTAAAAATAATACACATATCTACATTTAAATACAAACTCATCGATCATAAATATTTCTGTTCAGAATGTTATTTTTTCATCGATGTTTTTCATTACGACTTGGAGGTGGGACCTCATCTGGGAACTTGAAACCTGGTTTCATTGATACTATACATCTTCTCCAATATTTATCAAATGCAACTAAATCTTGTTCAAGTGAAGTCACATAAGATTTGAATTTATCTACTCTGTCAGCGAGTGCAGTTTCATAATCAGAATAAGATTTATTCCTTTCAAATATTACACATCTATGAAGTGGTGTTTCCAAACTATATTGAACTGGCAGTTTATCAACTTCAGCGATATCACTACTTGAAGAAGTAATTCCTTTCTTTTCATCTCGTTTTCTATCTTCTCTTCTTCTTCGAGATTGCCTTCGTGCTGTTGGTGGGGCTTGAGTAGTTGTAATTTCGGATGGCTTAATCATGTACCAAACTAATGGCATCATTTGTACATTTAATGAAGGCCAAGCTTTCTGTGGAAATGGTCTGAAAGGATCATTAACTGGATTATTTGCGCGTCTTTCTTTTTCTTTTAACATTTCTTTTAATGTCATTCTTGTAGCATTTTCTACTTGCGGTGGTGGTTGGTTATCTTTTCCATTTGTGCCATTAACTAAATCTTCTGGAAGAACAAATGCATCAAATGTTTGGAGAAATGTACGTGTAATTAATGGTAAATGACCAATGAAAAGCTGCATTGTTTTTACTTCACTATTTAAAACATTTTCATTAAAGTTTTTAACAAGTTCAGCTTCATTTTTCTTTCTAATATTTTCTTCTTCAATTAGCCCCAAAAGTTCATCAGTGTTATTTTCATCAATAATACGAGGAGTCAATCGATTTCTATGTTCTTGCTTTCCATCAACAAGAAG